CCTGGCCCACCTGCCAACTCTAAATGATTAAACAAGAAAGAAGCACAATCTTATTTGAGCCATTATATCCATTATAACAGCTTAACTTGTTCCCTCATTGAATAATTAGTCAAGAACTAGGGAGCTACTTTCACAAAGGCACAACATATTGATTGGCACTTAGGTGTTAGGCTATACGCTGAAAAAACAGGCAACTTGTGAACCACAGCAAAACCAGTGCTTGTAATAACCTGGAACTAGCTGGAGAAAATCAGAACCTTGCTCTGTTTCTTGCCCCCTTGCAAATTGCTACAGTTTGGATCAGGAATGATCCCCAATGGCCCATGTGTTAAGGGTTGGTTGCCAATCTGTGACACTACTGGGAGACAGTTGAACCTTTGGGAGGTGGGAAACTGGGTTTCCCTAGTGAAAGGAAACTGGGTCATTGGAGACGTGCCCTTAAAGGGCATAGTGAGATGTGGGTCTTTTCCTTTCCTTCCCCAGCCACTACGAAGTGAATAGGCATCCTCCACCCCATGCTTCCACCACAATGTTCTGCTTCTTACCACAGGTCCAAAGCAACAGGGCCAAGTGACCATAAAGTGAAACTCCTAAAACCATAAGCCAAAATAAACTTTGGTCTTGTTTTTATGTCAGGCGTTTTTTCATAGCAATGGAAAGCTGACTAAAGCAGTGACTTCAGGATGGCACTACAGGAGAGACATGAAGTCAGACAAATGTGAGCTGGTTTGCAAGTACTCATGGAAAAGACAAGAACCTGCTAAACGTTTCTCTCTGTCCAGGGCCTGAGATTTAAACTTAATGGAAATGTAGGAATCTGATGCTTCAGGTGGCTTCAAATCAAATGACAGGAAATAATGTAAAATGTCTTTCAGAGCCTATCTGGTAGCACAGATCAGGTGTTATTTTCCTATCTAGGCCTACCTTTTGCAAATGGTATTAAGGGAGCCACCATTAAATTGAAGGAAAAGATATGGACTGAGCAAAAAAGGCTTTTTGATAAACGTAAAAGGAAACTCAAGAAGCATAACAACCATAACTAGGAGTAAAAGTTTTTGGCATGGCTACATTTACATGGAACCTATTTATCATAAACAGGCCAGACTAGTACATACCAAGAACTCCGAGAAAGTGTACTACTAAGATAGTGCAGTTCTACAAGTTTAAGACTGCTTGATCACTAAAGCAAACCGCAGGTCCCCAAATCAGCACCAGGCAAAAAGTGTACAATGAAAACTATGTAGCCCTCTGAAAAGCATTTCAGGTATGGTCAGTGAGGACAACGAACACAAAGAGACTTTCAGAGACAAAGCCAAAATCCACACAGACTAATCAAAGGAGTGACTCCCAGGGGGGCGTCCAAGAGCTGAAAGAACAGAGAATATGGGCTTTGAGTTGGATGCCATAATTGCACAGGACTTTGGGTTTTCACCTTCGAGGAAAGATGAATACTTTCTCTGCATGGAAAGTGGGGGAGTACATGGATATGCGGAGGCACTGCATGACACAGCTGTATGGGACTGGATCTCCCATACAGCTATTCTCCCTTGCATTCTTTGGTTAGGGCCCCCTTGAGTTTTAACTGGGCACTTTGCTGATGACCCACATTTCTAGTCTCTCTTAGCTATGATCATGTGATGTCTTTTTTTTTTTTTATGTGCTAATTCTTTACTAATGAGAGATGAGTAGAAATGATGCACACTACCTCTGAGTTGTCACCTAAAGACACAGGCACTTGTTCTGGAGGTCCTACTTCCCAATCCTGCAGGCTAAACTGAAGCCTGAAGAGCAGCTCTGACCACATGGGCAAGGTGATTACCCCGGGCTGATGGACCAACAAAAGAGGAGGGACCCAGACCCCTGGAGGACCTTGGGGAACAGAGCTGCCCGCCTGCTTTCAATCACCCATGATCTTTTAGACTGTTTCCTGAAAGAAAAATAAACTATCTTCTTTTTGGTCTCTTTTTTTACACTCATTGCTATAGAATAATGCCATTTTCACTGGTACAAATGAGATGAACACACTGATACCTTTCAGAAGTAAAACACCCCAGGGTGAGCCTGCAGCAAGCTGCTGTTCTCATGTCCGAGACTTACAGGAGCGGAGATTTAGGAAGACAAGGGTACAGGGCACTAGCTATAAGTCTGGTCAGAAGCTAAAAAGCTCCAAGTTAAAAAAGGACGCAAAAGCACAGACTGTTAAATTTTTGTTTAAATTCCATTCAAATTATATTACAGGTCTCTCCTTTCTTCCTGAGTGTGTGATGGAGATTGAAACCTAAAAGTATTGCTCTATCAAACTTATTAGTTGAAAATATATGTTCAAATTGCAGTATTTTCATTTTAACAGCTGTACAGTGCACTGCTAATGATACTGTCTAAAAGAAGTACTGTGTGAACACAAAGTCTTATTTCAGAGGGGAGGTCCTCCTGTGTTCTTTATATGTAGATGAACACACAGATTGAAAAATTAAATTTATTTCATCTTTTTATAAAGGATTAAATCTCTTTGAACTCTTTCTTTCTTGTTTGTCCTATATTTGTTTACAATTCTTTATGAGTTCTATTTCTTTTAAATACCATCTTCTCTGCCAAGACAGAAACAACTTTTTATTCCTAGAATTTTATATTGGGAAAGGACATAAAGGGATAAATACTAAAAGTAATATTATAGATGCCCCCAAACAGAATCAGAGCTAACAAAATATTAATAAGCATCTTTAAAGAATGTACTGTTGAATTTATGCTTCTGCTGAAGTTTGTAATTAAAGATGGTAGATGCATAAAAAAACCCGTGGATATTTAAAAATTAAGACAGTCTCAAATATAATAATGAAAGCCGTGTGTTAAAATCTAATTCACAAAGCTGGGGAATGATAACTAGCTTTCCACAGGAACCCAAATTATTTTCCTATCTTCCTTTTAAAATATGAAATACATGATACCCTGAATTTTCTGGAAACAACATAAATTCAAAACAGAATTTTCATTTTTAAGCAGAAAAATTCTGTTCCAAATGAAAGTCAACATCTTGTCATTAAAATCCACTTCTACTTTGTGCTAGGTTTCCCATCTCTCTTAATGGAAACAATGGTTTCAGAACTCCAGGAAGGAAGCCAGAACTCTATCACCCCCAATTTCTTTTTCTTACGTTCTCTCTCACATCTGTGCCATCCGTTCCATTCCCACGAGGGAGTTATTCTGGATTCCTTTTCCTCTTCCTCCCCACATCTGGCCCATGAACAAATCCTCCGAAGTGTAATCAGAATCTGACCATTTCTCACACCATCATCGCCAACATGGTGGCTCAAGCCACCATCACCAGATTCACTGGCTGCTTTCCCAGCTGGCCTCCTCACTTATACCCGTGACCTCCAGCAGTCTATTCTCAGTACAGCAGCTTGTAACTAGGACACCACTCAACCTAAAAACTCCAGTGGTTTCCTTGCTATGAAAAATCTGAAGTTCCTACAGGAGCAGCAGGACCTGGCCCCACAGTTCCTCTGCTCCGGCCTCAGGCCTGCCCATACTTCCGGGAAGTCGCTCCCTGGGCTCTGGCCATGGTGGTTGCCCTGCCAGTTGTGCTCCTCTCCCTCCACCCTTGACACCTGCTGCACTCTGCTCAGAACCCTCATCTCCCAGATACTGCATCACGCATTATACCTTTCAGGTTTTCATCCCAGAACACTATCATCCCAGCAAGCTCTTTTCTTTTTCAAATCTCATCATCCTCTCAAGAATTAAAATCCTTCTTTCCCATTTTATTTTTTCCTCCACAGCACACACTGTATTTTACTTATTTATCTAGTTATCACCAGTCTCCTTGACGGGAATGCAAACTCTCTGAGTTGGATTGTTTTTGTCTGTTTTCTTCTATCTCTATTCCTAAGGCCCAGAAAAAGAGTATGGCACACAGCAGGGGCTCAGTGAACTTTGCTGAATGAATGGACAAATGAGGACACAACAAAAGAATGAGTCCAGCTGGGGCTTTCTCACTGCATCGTTCCTGGTCTCCTGGCAGCAGTCTCTACTCCCTGAAATCAACCCAACCTGCCTTGGTCAGTCGTTCACCTAACACAGGTTTGACACTATCACTCCTCTACGTAAGGTCCTAAGTAGCTCTCCAAGGATGGCGTAGGAGCCCTCATAAGCAGGGTACCGTTTTTTCTAACCTTATCTCTTTATATCTATTCTTACACCTTAGCTATAGACTAGTTTCTCCCAAACTTGAGTAATTTATGGGTTCTTCTACAAGAGGAAAAAAAAATTCTCAATTCTCAATTTCTCTTAAGGTCATACCCAAGGACTCCAATTTGAGATATATCAACTTAAGAAATTTATATTCTCGTCAATAAAAACTTTTTTTATTACAGATTATTAATAAGACAATTGTAATACCATAACCAAAGTGAGGACAGAAGCTTAAGATCTTCATGCATCTTGCACACCATGAAAATGAAACCAAGGATCCTGAAACACAGCTGTCCATAAATGAAATGACCTACCCACCTCGGAGAGGCCTCTGCTTACCTGCCTCTGTTTGGGCCTTCACTCTTGCTTCTCCCAATTACAATTTTCACAATTCTACTCATCACTCATTGCCTACTTTGTTTGTCACTTTCTTCATGAACTCTCAGTTTTGATACCCTCAGCTAAAATTTCTTTCATTCTCATGGGATAATTTGCCATCTCTTCTATGATAGTAACTATATTATTCTATAAATATAAATTATTATATATTATTATTTTTCATGGTTATTATAACTCCTGATAGTATAAAGATTAATTTGTCCCTTTTATTTCCAGAACTAGCATAGCATCTTTCATATATCAATAAACTGAATTAATAATCACATAGGGTAAAAAAATGGTTCTGTAAATGTGACTTTCTACTGATCATAAAAATGGAACTACTTACTACATGCTTATAATCAAAGATGTGTATTTACACTAAATGAGAAAAATGTTAGAAAACCTTTCAAGTTATTTATAGGACTTACCTTCTTCTAAGCATTAAGTCTGATATAGGTATGCATCTTAGACCAGTACCCAAAACCATAAGGAAGGATGTCAGAAGCACAGTCACCCGCAGACCTAAAAAGAAACAAAAAAGCCAGATTAGTTTCACTGTCTCCTAAGTAAGTTCACTGTTAATAATAAATATTTTTCTTACCCAATCAACTGATACTACATTCTAATATACAGTTTTTCTCTATAACCCCCAACACAGAAAAAGAAATGAAAAAACCTAACCCCACATGTGGAATATGAAATGACTTTATAGAAAAGTGGAATGATCATATCAAAGATAAAGGAAAAGTTCTATTAGCTCTCATTTTTCAAAACGAATGTCTAGAATGTTCATATATAATACTAAAAATATAGAAAATAATTTAAAAAGACGAAGTATTTTGACTTTATATGTCCAAGTAAAAATTCTAATTTTCAAATGCAAATTGCTAATGGAAAAAACACTATACTGTCCCTAAAAATTTTTTTTAAGGTGATAGATTACTATTTTAAGTTTTCTCAAAAGAAATAACAACTGGCCAACTACATTATTTTATTTATAACCAAGAAAATCTAATGCTTGTTACAGGGTCATAGAAAGTAGCATCTCAGGACTCTGTACAATAATTGTGTACTACTTTTTCTTGATTTATCAAATTGTTTTTAACATAGAGAATGTTGTTAAAAAATAAAAGGCATGGCTTAGGACTTCAGAACATAATGTGGGTCACACGCCTTTTTCCTTTGTATTCCATGTAAGAAGAGCTACTTTGAAAATATGTGTCTGGTTGGTCACAGGATAAAAGGAAAAAAGAGAATATAAAAATATGCATCCAAACAAGGTAACCAGAAATAGATACAATATCTGCAGAATAATATAATGGAAGTATATCTTCCTATTTTTGGAATATTATATTAATAGTGAACTAGTATAATCTTATAGTTTGTGGCAGCTACATCATACAGGTGGCTGAGGTCTATGGCAGAGATGCCTATATTTCTTCAAACTTTTCCAAAATCTAATATCTCCCTGAAGCCATTTCACAAAAAGAACTGACATAAATGATTAATGTTTCTTTTTTTTTCTAGAATTTTTTTTGTAGAGGGTAGATGGTTAAATATTTGATTTTGAAAGTGCTTCTCTGCTTGAAGGAAACTGAAAGTCAATAAAACTATAATTACACAGATCCAACATAGCAAGAAAAATAAATATGAGGTCCAGATTAGGTACATATATGCTACACTGAGAATAATTTGTAACATGAACTGAGCTAACTTTATAATATTCTCATATAACCTCAATATGATTAATACAATTTGGCAGAAGGAAAGCCATACAGAGTCGAGCTTCTCAGTAACAAGTAAAGCATACACACTGCTCATTTACTGCTTCTACTAACAGAACACAGACTTAAAGCCACATTATAGCCATAGGAAATAGAATGTAATTACTGCAAAGTACATACACTGTCATAAATATGCTAAAATTGCAAAACATTCCTCTTATAAGATTGTGCTGGCTATCCAATAAGATACTGAATAGAATTTTGTAGATTTGGGCCTCTAAGGTTTATATTATACATGACGTTTATTTTTTTCTAAAGATTTTGTTTGTAATTAGGGTAAGAACTAGTAAAGAAGTAGTAGGGCATAGTTTATGGCCACGTGGTCCAAATAATCAGGCTTTCTATTGTTACTGCTAAAAGCTAGCATACTTTTCTACTCAAATGTGCTTTTAATCAAATATATGACAATATAATAGCTAATATAAACTTTTAAGAATGAAGAGCTCCTGAAAAGCTGATTATTAAAGCGATTTTGCAAAGATACAGCACTCTAGGTTTCTTGTTTAAATGTTGCTTAATCTATATTAGTTAGACAATCTTGAATACATTTTCTTTTCATTCATAGCATGACAAGTCATGACTCTAATTTCATGTAACAACATGATATCGGCTCACCCAGAGAAGAGACCTAATAAGGACCCCAGCAAAATAGGCTTCAGAGACATGCAGAATTTTTATATAAATAGAACTCAAATGGTCACAGTGTTTAGATATATAAGTACAGAAACCATATGATGAAATGTATTTTTATAACAAATTTATATAAACAAGAATGACTGAAAATGAATTTTTATTCAAATATGGCATCTAGACCCTGCAGAAAGCTTCCTTTTAAAACATGAGAACACTTCTTTTGTTGAGAACCCACTAGATAAGGGATGGAAGTCTCTAAAATAGGAGCCAAAATCATAGGAAAACATAGAACCCAACACACACACACACACATACACAGAGCTTGTCTGGTAAGACCACCCTTGCCCAGGATCCACACTTCCATCAGCTAGAGTGAAGACAACCTCTGCCTGTTCTCTGCCCACAACAATCACAGCCTAACCACCCCATGTACCTTTGAGGCTGTCAGGACTAAACACATTGTGCTTTTTTATCCCAATTACATTGGACCAAGGCATCCAAAATTCAGAGGTTATCCTTATCCCACTATATGTTTATGCATCTCCCAGTCTGACCTCACCTCCACTACCCCTGTAACTCCAGAAGCCTGTGCACTGTCCTTGTGGAGGGTCACTCAAGCAGTGGAGCTCCTCCATTCTCACGTTCTTCGGAGCTCCTCCATTCTCACGTTCTTCTCTGAATGGTCTCTCCACGTTCTCCCACTGACATCTCTCTCTGGGGACACAGCTTCTATTGCCACTTCTCACTCCTTGTTACTCTCTCTGTCCCAAAGCTGGCCAGTTTTCTCTCTTCATGATTTTAAGATTTTCTCTTTGGGGCTGGGGATTTAGCTCAGCAGCAAAGCGCCTGCCTCGCAAGCGCAAGGTCGTGAGTTCGGTTCCCGGTACCGGAGAAAAAAACCAAAAAAAAAAAAAAGATTTTCTCTTTATCACTGGTGTTAAGCAATATGACTATGATGTGCTGTGATGTAATTTTCTTTACATTTTTTTCTTCCTAGATGTGGGATTCCTAGATATGTGGGTGTATTAGTCACTTTCCCCTTGCTGGGACAAAATACCCAACACCTGCAGTTTAAAGGAGGAAAGGTTTATTTTGGCTCATGGTTTTCAGAGGAGTCAGTCAGAGGATTCAGAGGATTGTCTGGCTCCAAGGCAGAAATGGTATGGCAAAAGAGGAAAGCTGCTTACTCCATGGCAGCCAGGAAGCAGAGAAGGGAGGAGCCGGGAGAAGAATATACCCTGCAAAGGCACAGCCTCAGGGACACACCTCTTCCAACTAGGCCTGGCCTCCTGACAGCACCTCTGCTGTGACCTCATCGATGGATCAGTCCACTGCTGAGTACAGTGCCCCCATGATCCAATTACCTTCAAATAGCCCCACCTCTGATTATGTGAGATTTTGGGGGGACAGTATAGATCTAAGCCATAGCAGCGGCTATAGTGATCAAGTTCAGAGACTTTTCTGAAACTTTTTTCTTCAAAAAGAAAACAATTGTTTTCTATTACCCCATCTGACTCTATGCCTTTTCCCCCTTACTTCTCTCTTTTCCATCTAGGGTTCCATCTACGTGTATATTAGGCCACTTGAAACTGTTCCACAGCTCATAGATGCTCATGATTTTTGTTAATTTGTTTCTCATCTTTATTCCTCCGTGTTCCACTCTGGACAGTTTCTATAGCTAAATCTTTGATCTTCTACAATGTCTAATCTGCTGTCACATCCTCAACAGTTAATTCTGTTTCATCACATAGTGGTTAAATTTTTCATTTGTAGAAATTTAATGTTGGTTTTCTGTTTTCTATGCTTCTCCTTAATATGCTCAAGCATTCTTTAACCTTCCTGAACATGTACTCATACAGTACATTCATAGGGGTTTTTGCATTCTGGCTGTTGGCAATGTGAACTATTCTCAGGTGCAAACTTTGTTCTGCGTGCTCCTTTTGGGTGGTTCTTTCTCTAGTCTAGGGTAGTTTCCTCAATATCCACTGATCAGTGCTCAGTTGAAGACTCAAGAAGGACCCCTGCAGATCCATAACTTCCTATGAGTCTTCCCTTCCTTCACTGTGGGAGGCTCCACTAAGTATTCTAGTTAGTATGGCCTCTTCAGATTCCCAATTTTGTTTCCTTATCTTAGGAAAACTCCTCGACTCTGTCTGAGTTCCCTATCTCTATGCTGCAGCCTGGAAATTCTCCCCAGGAAGTACACTAAAGCCACTGTAGAAATCATTGTCCTTCCCTATGTATTATCCAAGGTCTGAGAAACTGTTTCATATATGGTAGTTTTAATTTATTTGTTCTTAGTTAAGATAGAAGGATAAATCTAATACTTGCTTTTCCATTATGGCCAGACAGCCTTTGATATATTTCATCTGATTATAATACCTACCACTTTTGTTGTGGTTTTCTGCAGACCACCACACACCCACCTCCAGGCCACTCACTCTTACTGCTTGAAAATGTCTTGGCTTATCATTACTCCTTGGAACACCACTCCTCCCACAAATCTGGTGATTTCAATATCCACTAGATGATCCTTCTAGTATCCTGACTTATCTGTTCATAGACCTCTTACTTCACAACCACGTACTCCAACCAACCAGGTGTTCACTCTCTTTTTTTTTTTTTTTTTTTCCGGTACCGGGAATCGAACTCACAACCTTGCGCTTGCCAAGCAGGCGCTATGCCACTGAGCTAAATCCCCAGGCCCCTCACTCTCTTGGTTACACTCTGATCTTACCTCTACCATAACTGCATCCATGACATAATCCCAGTCTCAAGCATCTTATTCTTCAAGCATTACCTCCTGTTTTTCCCATTTACTCCCTCTCATGTACTAACAACAACAAATTTTTGGTGTAATAATGCATGACAATTGTGGAGCCTACTACTTTTTCCTACTCATCTGAGGATACTTTCCCTTTCCGTATTGAGTTTAGATTCCATGATGTATTATTAAATCACTGCCTACACAACCCTCTATTCTTGGCCTAAACTTTGTTACTCCTATTCACCTGACAAAACTACAACCATGGTTGATCAGTCTCTCTTACCCTCTCCCTCAGTGCTACCCAACAATCCTACTACAGTTTCCCAGTCCATGTGTTT